CCCATCGGGGGATGGCGGGGGGAGGGAGGAATTGAAGGCGAAGGAGGAAATCAGGTCTCCGGGAAGGGAACAGAAAGCAGTGGTCACATGAACGGTGGTAACATCTTTGGGATGTTCCAACAAGTAGAGTTCCAACAAGTAGAGTCTGTGTTCCCAAGAAAATTACAGTCATGGCGTCCGGGGCGGAAGGTGGCTTTAAAATTAGGTTTGAGCTCAAAAGGAGATGGTAAGTCAACAAAAGGAGGAGGAAAGATAACTGGAACATTCATGGGGGGAAAACAACAGAAAAGAAAAATTAAGGAGAGCAGAAATACAAGGTTACCTTACAAGCAACAACAAAATTAAAGTGAAAACCGAGATACCGTGTGCAGGCTGGAAGGACTCGCGTACAGGGATAGGAGAAAGAGTACAGATGTGAAGTTGGTTTTCAGAGGCAGTGATGGATGTGGGAGACAGAGAGGAGATCACACCCAAGCCCATTGGAATTTCTGAAAAGAACAGAACAAATGGAACAGAAAATGAAAGAGAATGGGGCACCTGGGTGGCTCAGTCGGTGAAGCGTCGGACTCTTGATTTTGGCCCAGGTCATGATCTCATGGTTCGTGGGTTTGAGTCCCACGTCAGGCTCTGCACTGACAGTGGGGAGCCTGCTTGGGGTTCTCTCTCCCTCTCTGCCCCTCTCTGTATCACACGTGCTCTCTCTCAAAAATAAACATCAAAAAAAAGAACAGTCAGCAATGACATCTCAGAACAGAATGTACGTATCAGAAACCCTGACGTTACCTGGACAGCATCATGAATGCTACCTGGAGGTTTGGAAGGAAGAGGTGGCAGGAATGAACGGGTTTATTTCCTCATCTTTCCTAGCCAGTAGATACTCTCCTAAGTCCAAACATGTCATTAAAAACAATCATCTAAATATCTTGTTGGTTTCTACAATTTTTGTTTTTTTAATTTTCTTTCTGAACATTAGAGGGTTCTTTTTGGGAATTCATTGCCAGGGTGAAAAAAAAAAAA